ACACACTATATTTATACACATACTTTTTCTTTTCTATAGGAAAAAAACCTCTAAAGTTTGTGATAAACTTTATTATCACACTAGTGATTTAGATAATCTGTCTTGTGCTGATAATGATGATCCTTGTTACAGGCAGATACAACGGAAGCCAGAAGCACCTGCAGTCACTTATGCAACCTATCGAGGTTCTGCAAGGATTAGGCAGCTGCTGAAGAGTCAATCAGAAGCCGCTGAAAAAGGAGAAGAAAGTACTGAGAACAGAAATTCTTTGATAGTCAGAGAAAATGGAGAAATCCAAACAACTGTCCCGCTGAAATCAGGACACTTAATAAAAGAAAATGGACAAAATGAGAGTAAAGATCACGAAGATGGTGTCATAGTAAATTCTTCTGCATTTAAAATGGAAACAGAAAAGTCTGGCAAAGCTCAGCATTGCTTGAGTAACAGGAAATGTGAAATAACTGCAAAGGCCACAACTTCATCTACTGAATTATCTCATGACATAGACTTGAAACATACACCTGCTTTAGCTGCAACAAAAGTTAAAAGGACATGTTCACTAGACTCATTATTGTCATCTCATAGTGAGATCCTAACTGGCTCTACTTCCCAGTTTACCAATTCCCTTAATTCCCTTAAAATGAGTTCTGAAAATGATTTGGTTAGAAAAGAAGTTGGAGTGCTGGGACAAGCAGAAGCTCTGTTTCAGGCAGACAAAAATACCACTTCTAACTTTGATAAAGGTAATCACAGTAGTTTAGCAGGTAGTAAGGAGTCCACAAAAGAAATGCAAGATGATTGTTTATATTCATCCAGATCAAAAAATCAGACGGTTAATGAAGAGCTACAAGTGAGAAAGAGAGAATGTTGCTGTAATCATCAAATGGATGGTCACTCAGAGCTAACATCGAATGTCCATATGCTTCATTCCAGTACTGCTAGATTTCAGCAGCAAGCAGAGCAGCATACAGGTAGTGCAAATAAAGACAGTGGTCCAAGAATAAGTGATACACAGAATATTGTGGCAGCTGTAGAGGAAGAGCAAAATGCACAGAACATTGTTGCTACTGCTCCCTTACCTTTTAACGAACAAATACCCACCTTGCTTAGCGTGGAGTCTAGAGGAGGAAAATGCACAGCTGCAGGTAATCTAATTGCTTCAGTGTCATCTATTAAAAATGATATAGCCATGGGCAGGGGGACTTGTAATGAAGGACTGAGTGAGTTAGGGAAAGCAATGCACATACAAAATGGTCACCAGTTAATCCCTGTGGAGAATTCTGAGGGTACTGCCATGCCACAGACTGGTTTACCTTGTCTAGAAAGTGAGGATGTGGAAACGACGAAGGTTTTATCTGAGGTCGCAGGGGGAAACCTTGCCAATATATCATCATGCATACATGAGTGTGAGTGTGTGAAATCTAACGTCAATGAGCTGACAGCACCTCTTTCTGTTACTTATGAGTCGTCTTTTGAAACTGGAGGCTGTTGCACAGCTTCTCTTCATCCTAATTGCAAGAACAAAAATAAAACTATAGGGAAAAGACAAGTCAGTTTAAAAGAGGAGCGAGAGACTCTTTCTTGTCCTGATCTTGAATATGAGAAGGGCAAATCCTCTGAGCCTGTAGAGAGGAGCCTCTTGGAAAGCTCAGTTCCTGTCCACAGCTGTGGTTCTGTTTCCCTTGAAACTGTTCAAGACATTCCTGCCAAGGCATTAGTCACACTCACAGAAGATAACACAGCAAAGCCTGCACCTTGCCCTTTAATCAGCATTGACAGGACAGATGGTCATACTCATGTTGCTTCTAAAATCGACAAGGCTGGTGTGACTGAGGTTGCTCTTGTTTCTTCTGAGTGTAGGGATTGCATCTCTGAACTTTCCTCTTATATTTCTAAGTCACAAGAAAACATTCTGGAGGCTTCTCATTCGGCCTTGAAATATGGAAAAAGACCTTTGACCAACCATTCTGCTTTCGTCTGTGAAAAAGACATTGGTGTAGACGTGACTTCTGAATCTTCACTTGTTTCTGAAGATAGACATATTAATTTTTCTTCCAAGAAGGAAAACAGCAATAAGCCTAGGTTATCCCCCACAGTACTTCGCTCAGGAGACCCAAGAACTTCATGCCCGGTTGGTTCTCTGAAACCTGAGCTTACTCCAGCCATGCTTGATGGCTGTGCTGCTGCTGTAGATGTGGGAGGTGTTTGCATACCCAGGCCCTCTTTGCCTACTTTGGGATCCAACTTTTCTATTTCTGCCTTCGAAACAGCAAACATTACTCAGGGGAACAGTTACTCCTCCAGTCACAGAGCTGGTGATGGAGCAGAGGAGGCCTCCTCCACACAACAGGCTGATGGTGTCCTGGCAGAGGCAATCCCGTCACCCATCTGTCTTTGGAAATCATTGGAAACAACATCTGTGTCAGCCTGTACTGACAGTGTGTTTAGAAATGCTGTGGGACAGGTGAATCGTGGTAACCATGCTTCTGCTATTTCAAAGGCACCTTCTGCAACAGATGACCAAACAGCTGCTGCACCTGCAGAGTCCAGTGAGCTCTGTTCTGAGGAAGATACTGATGTGAAGGAACAGGAACGTGCTAAATTCCAAGATACTGCTGTTTTGTTTAGAAAAGCTGAGGAAACAGTTCAGTCAGTTTTACACTTGGCTATAGAAGAAATAATAGCAAAGCAAGCCATTGGCATTTGCCAACTTTGTGGGAGCAAGGATGGTTTAATTAATACAGATATTCTGAATGATCAGAAAGCTGGAACTGTACAGCTGGAAGCAGAAGAAATCCAGTCAGCTGTGCAGTCCTTGAAGCATTTTAATGAGAGCAGCAGTAGAAGTTCATCTTCATTTACAGGAAATGAAAGAGTGGATACAAATAATCAAGATGAAAAGCTACTATCTTACATCCCTGATAAAATTGACCTACATAGTGCACTAGCACTGAGAGCAAAAGAAATAATTGATGAAGTCATTACCTCAGCCAAACAAAAACTGGCATCCAATCAGTGGCAAGGCAGTGACAGTAAAAGGCCTTCTGAAAAGGTTGAGCCTAAACCTAAAGCTGAAACGCCAGATGTTTTAAACCTGGATTTGAAGTTACCTGCCAAACCACAGAAACCAGCAGAGAAGGAGGAAACCTGGAGTGTGACTGTAAGCTGTGAAAAGGCAGATTGCTCATGTCCTCCTTTGCTTCCAGATAGTATGGAAAATGGCATAGATTTGCCCCAAAGAGGTGAAAAGATACCAAATAATGCATTTACATGTCAAACAAATGGATTTCAACCCACTGGTAGTTCAGCAAGGCCAGAAGGAGATCTTCTGACACCAGCGAAAGAGACACGTGATAGAAAGGTCTGTGGACTTCTGGCTGCAGCAGAGATGTCTGGCAAAGCTGGAGTATCAGCAAGCAGTAGAAAATCTGATGGATCTTTACATTTAATACATAGAGATGCTACTGTGACTAAAGAGATGCTTTTGTCATTGCAGTTAAAAGATTCATGCAATAATACAAATATGCCAGAGTGTACATGGCTGCCAACAGTAAATGCTAATTCATCATCTTCTATGCCCGATGAAGAATGTATCGGCATGCAGAGTGAATCCAAAGAAAAATGCAGTCCTCTGGGTTCTCAGGAAGACAATGCAGATAACTATCTGTATGAACATTGCAGAAGAGAGGATGCAGAAGAAGTTCTTGCACAAGTAAAAGCAACCTTAGAAGGCTCACAGGTAGTGGAGAGTAAAGAACTACCAGAAAAGGCATGTGAGATTGCAGAGGTTAATACTGGTTTAACTACACAGTTCATTGTACCTGAATTGTCTGTTACTGGAGAGGACAGTGAAGGGGTAAACTGCTTCAACACAGTCTTTGCCCAAAATAATGAGAATCTGAAGCAGGTACAAATGAAGGATCAAGACTTGGAGAGAACTGATCAGCTTGAGCAAAATGGTCTGGACTGCAGCGATGATGTGAAGGAATCACTGGATCTTTCGGCCTTTTCTCCACTAATTGAACAGTGGGAAAACAGTTCTTTTACTATCATCTATGAAGGAGCCCTTCAAACTGAGAACAAATCTGTCTCAACTGATGATAGGCAAACTGGTTTGCTTTCTTCTTCTGATCTGCCTTCGGATAATATAGATCATCTAATGTGTGAAAGAGCGAAGAGTAAACATGAGCCAGTCTGTCTTTATGGGAAGGATAACAAGTTGAATGAAGCAACAGAGAGCCATAGCTCAGAGTCATTTCTGAGTGTGGAGGCCAAGCGCTATCGAGTATATCCTTTCTCCTTGTCTCCAATATATGAAGACGACAGCTCCCAAGAAGACTTACTTTCCACAGATGTGTCGCCAGAAGGCCATCCGAGTGGAGTATCTAAAGATAACTCTGACCACACTTCTGTGCTTTCCCTTCTCCAGTCAGTTTCTGAGCGCTTACAGTTTTCTACTCAGTTCAGTAAAGAGGAGGAAGAAGAGGAGGGAGTGGAGGACGAGGAGGAGGAAGTATCATCATATGAAGAAAATAAGTTTGATGTTGAGAGAGAAGACAGCTGTCTTTCCAGTCAGTGGAGAGAGGATTTAAAAACAACCCTTCAATCAAATGACCAAAATAGATCTTTGTTTTCTGAACAATCACATTTTCTTTCCAAAGAACAGCTTGACTCTAAGGAGCAACCAGAACTGTTTTCAGATGTGGTTTCTCCCAGTCAGACACCTTGCAAGCCAGTTTCACAGAAAGCTGATGCTGCTTCCAAGTGTCCTCCTACAAGCGTGTACTACCAGTATTTGAAGTCTGCTGGCAATTGCTCCTCCAACAAGGAGTCCAGGTTTGGAAGCATTCTCCAGGATATGTTGCAGCACAAGATTCATTGGTCTCAGGACAACACCATGCCAACACTGGGAGAATTGTCAACGGTAAGACATTGTATCGCATAATAATAATAATCACCGTGATTAGCTCAGATTCAAAATTGCCTTCTCCCTATTCTCCTTTCTCTCTTTTTAAAGGTTTAATTCTTTTATCATGAACAAAAGTAATTAGACCTAAGTCTTAAGACCTAGTCTAAGATCATAGTTTAAAAAACAGTCTTCTGATAAAATAATTTTAGAAACATAGTATTCTTGGTTCACCACACAGATGAAAGCGATTTAATTGTAAAACAGACAATGTGAACAGAAAATATAATAGGAAAATATGCACAATAGCAGGTCTGTATGATTGCAAAACCCAGACTTGTCCATGTTAATGACATTTCAACCTGAAGATGATGGAATTGCCTTTTATATGGAAATTTTTCTTTCATTTCTCCCACTTCTGAGATTACTAAAGCTGTATTGTCTGAAAAAAATATAAATATCTGCTTACTGGGCTGTTTGATTGTTTCATCACAGGCTTTTACAATTTGTAGCTCAGTTAGCAAGTAAGTAATGTAGCTGCTTATGTAGATAAACATTTATTTTTTAGTTTATTTAAAGCTATGTCAAATGAGTACGGAAACAGTGCTTCCAATATTTAGAAACTGAGAATGCCACATAGACAAAATACAGAACTGAAGAATATTCCCAACATCCCATGGTTTGGGGAATATTTCAGTCTGTGTTAGAGGTCTCTTTTGGCTTTGCCACTGTTAAAACATGCAGTTACTCTTTGCTGGGAAAGGGTAATACATTTCCAGGAGTTAGAACTTCCATAATAGTTCTTTCTTTCTAGCACTTGCTGTTTTCTGCTGTTTGCTTGATTCTGTAAAGCTGTTTACACCAACTCAGAACAACAGTGAAACAAATCTCAGTTGTTTCTGCTAGTGACAGTTGCGTATGTTCATAGGAACAGTGGACCCAGAATAATCTGACTATGCTTTGTGCTACTGTTGTAGCTGTTAATAGTTGTTTTTCATGTCCTTTTCATTTCAGAACCTCATTGACAGATCAAGTCTCAAATACAATCCAAGACCAGGAAAGGTAAGCAAAATTTGTGTCACATAGATCAATATGATACATGGAATAATTTGTTCCCCTGAAATTTTTGAATGGAAAGCATCTGAAGTTTTTAGTCTAGTTTTCTGTATTTTAGTGGTGTGTGTCCTTGTACATGCTACTAATGAGATTGTATTATTGAAACCCCTGCCACTATTAATTTTACTGTTTTTCTGTCACAACTACTGTTTTAGTTCAGTAAAGCATTTCATTAAAAAAAAAGTGTAGCATATCAGTTGAGTGGGCACAAAGTGAAACAGATTTTATTCCAAGCGAAAAATAGCTGTCTACACTGTATGTTGAAATGGGCCCTCATTCATATGCATATTATGTTGTTTCAGATTATTATTTATGATATTTATGGTGACAAAAGTAAACAAGAAGTTCATTCTGATGTGCTAGATACCACGTCCTGGATATTTCCCATTGGAGCATTACTTAGGATAATTAGAGGATGGTAAGAAATCCAGGTCATATTTAAATAAAGTCTTTCCAAAAGAGTGCATATGTTTCTCTCTTGTATTTTCATTTCTTTTGTTTATGACACGTCTGATCTGCAAGAGTGTCTTTTTCTTTCTTTATAATTAGACTGATACCAATGAAAATAAGTGTGAAACAAGGCTTCAAGTGCTGTAGTACAAAAAAATTGTTGTTTCTCCTGGGAACTAGCTTCAAACAGAAAGTTTATAATAGAACCATAAGGAAGCTTAGACTTCTTGGCTGACGTGCTGAGACAGTACAGCCATAATTATCACTAAGGGCACGTGTATGCCAAAGAAAATGGTTTTTTTACAGTTCAGTTTCATTATACAGTAGCTGTTGCAAAAGGACCATAAAATGAACAATCTCAGCTGCTGTTTGTGATGTAGCATTTAGAGGAATGTGGATGCAGAAGAATATACAAATACCTTTAAGGTAGATTTTTGCAAGTGTTTCTCGGTTTGCTTTGGGAAGCTGGGGCTGGGACCACATCAGTTGTAGCAGTGGGATTTAATTGGTGGCATGTACTGTGAATGTTTCCGACTGTCAGCCATGGTAACAGTGCATGTCACATCTATGCAGTTTAGAGGCAGACTTTTTTAGTTTTGCATACATTTCTTTCACATCCTAAGACATATTGAATGCCATTATTAGTATGTGTATGTTTTATGTCTTGCATAGCATCTGCCTGAGCAGGATGTGTTTTAATGTGTCAATTAATATATTTGTTCTGGTGAAATAAGACTTTTTATTTTAAATTTCTAGCTGTATTTTTATAGTTAATATTTTAAGTTGTTAGGTTGTGTGCTGAAGGAGAACTGTGTATTTTCCTTGAACAGGAGTACAAGCCCCGTATTTATCTAAAGTGAATGTGACTATTGAGGGACAGCATAAGAAAGGTGTGATAGTTGGCTTGATAAGAAGAGCTCATGACTGAGCTTTCTAACAAATGTGGTGTATAAAGATGGTCTTGCCTAACAGCAACAGCTTAGTTCATTATATCATTATTACAGTTGGATTTTTTATGAGCGACCAAAGTTCCAGGGTCGGAAATACGTACTAGAAGAAGGAGAGGCTGTGCTGGATCACCTTTGGGATCTCCCGGGCATGAAACACCAGCGAAGAAACATCACAGTTGGTTCAATCAAACATGTAACAAAGGTATAGACTCTGCTAACAATATACTCACATACATGATTGATTTACGTTGGCATTAGTGGTGTATTTCTGGCTGTGGGTAATGTGTGTATGCTGTGTTTCCGATTTTATTCAAATTTGCTGTGAATCACATTTTTCACCTTGAAGATAAAATTCCAGGGCTTTTGCTGCGCTGAATTTCCCTTTCTTCCTGAAGGTAATGAGCAGATGAGTATCTTTCTTTGCAACTACCTTTAGCTGATACAATGACTCCCCTCCTTTTAGATGTTTACCTGTCCAGTTAAATGAAATTAAATGGAATTAATTAATATTTTACAAAGAAGCATTTATCTTAAGCTTAAACCATCTACTGTGTCTGTATGGCTTCTGTTTCAGAAGTTAATAGTTGCGTTTAAAATCCCATTTGTACAGCGTAGCCTCCAAAAATTACTGTCTCTCCCTTTACAGCTTTGTGCTATCTGCAGAGGTTCCATGTGGACAAGTGGTACACCCTACAGCATCTGGCTCTGTATAGCCAGAAGCTTAAAAGGCATTTTGTTGAAAATGATAGGAATCAAATGCCTAAAACTAAATATAATGCACCAATTGTTAGTCAGTGAATGAGCAATATATTTACCAGATCGTGTGATTTAGGAAGATTTTGTGCTCTTGTTGTTTAGCATAACATTCCAGTTATTCACAGGACAAGGGCCTTTTACTGTGAGTGCATTATCATTTGTATCTCAGTGTGGAAGTTTTTTGGAAAAAGTGGTGTTTCTCTGTTCTTTGGCAGTATAGAAGTCATTTTAAAATTGATAACGTTTTTGTTGTCAGTACAAGGGCGTAATGTCATAACAATTAGAAATACTTTTTCATTCTCTTCAAAAGACTTTACAATAAATAAATTCAAGAAAGTCTGGATGAGGGCATGAATAATGAAGTTAACATTATTTGAGCAAAGCAAATTAAAAACATTCAACCAATATGGAATAAGAATATGGAATAAGAATATTGATCAGTAATTTTGAAGGCAGCTAAGTAATTAAAGAAATGCCACAATAAGGTGGAACTATGGACTGAAGCCAAGGGAAGCTGGAGGTGTCTTGAGTATCAAAGAAAAGCCTTGCATAGGAAAGGCACTGTGGTTAGGTTCATCATGCTTGATAAAAATCTTTGTATTACAGCCAAGTAGGTTCAAACATTGTTCTTCTTCCAGTATGTGGTTCAGTTGTATGGAACACAGATGGAAAGCTTTGTTATGCAGTGCACTAGTTCAGTCAGTAGTACTGTTTCTCATGTTTGGTTGGGAGGGCTTTTGCTGTTAGTTCATTGGGTGGTGTGGAGCTAGTGTGGGCACGGAACTCACTTAAGCCAGGTTTTGTCCTCTAAACCTTGATTTGTGAAAGCATCCCCCCTTTTTAGGTTGTACTTCAGCTGCTGTGGAACTGTTTTTAGAAAGTAGCTTGTCAAAGTGGTAACTTATTTATTTATTGTGAAAAATGTAGGCTTTTTCTTTTTATTTGTTTGACAAATAGCTGTTTCTTTTTCAGGCAGCTCATGTGTATGGGATCTTCAGGATCACATGTTTTACTGTCATTCTCTTTTTCATAGACTGGGTAGCTCAGTGACTTTTCTCCTTCCTAGTTTGGTCATACTGGCTGTGGGTCCAGGCTGTCTGGCTTGGTTTCTGATTCTTCAAGTGACTTTTTATGGTGCTTGTTTAATGGCTGCTCAGATGTCTTGAGTTAGCAGATTTGAAAATCGGCTAAATATATGAGAAGAAAATGGATTGCCAAGAAGAGAAAAACAGATGTTTACTAAAGAAACTGTAGGAGGTACATTTAATATTATTTTTTGCTGACAGATGTTAGTTTGTTAAGAAACACTGTGCTAGTAGCTTCGTCCTCTGATTTGGCTTCAAGCCTCCACAAGAAGCAAAGGTTCTGTTAGCTTCATGGTTAGCCTTTGGCTTGACGTACTGTGGATACACATTAGAGGTAGTCATGTGTATTTAATTTGAAGGAACTTAGGAAGGAAAAAAGAAAAGATCCCAGAGGAAGGGATTGTGCAACTAGTAAAATGAAGATGCATTTGAAGTAATGACGTGTCTGAATTCCACTAAGGCAAGTCAACGTGAGCCTAAGCTAGCAAAATCTGCCTGCATACACGGGTTCAGTGCAGATCCTGCAGCACAATCTGTTAAGCCAAGTTAGTTCTGTGGTCTGCTGCACCCAGCAACTTCAGATTGTCTCATTTTGCTAGTTGGTATTTACAGGACAGTAACCATTAATTTCCTTAATACTATTTTATTTTACTACCAGCCCTGTTGAGTTCTGTAGTTTGGTTTGGTGGTGATGGGTTGGTAGCAAGAGTGGTACAGAGCAGGAGAACTGGGAGAAAGAATTGTGAGTGGATGGAAAAGGCTGGAGGACCAATGGAAATTAAGATTTTAAATAAGAATGGCTGCAGAAGTTGACACGTCCTAAGGAGAAATTGTATATCAAAAGAAAGTTGCGTGTCTAGACTGAATTACCAACCATGTGAATACCAGGACTAATAAGCCTAGTTTTCAAGAGACTTTTCTCTCATCATTTTAGCATTTAGCTTAAGAAGCCAGACTTAATTCACTCTTTGTCCTGTTGTTGACTTAAAAGTATAACTCATTTAAATAGGCTATTTTGATGACTTCAGTCACCACAGCTTCCAGCTCCAAGGAGAAGACCCAAGAGTGCTGAAATGACTTAACCCTGCTGGTGCAGTTAGGGCTGTAACCCTAGATCCAGAAGAAGGGGAAACAGTCAAGAGGGGGTTGAAGGCTCTGGGTCCACCACTTATGGTGGAGTTCTTGAATGGACTAGAAAATTGTCAGAGATGTCACCAAAGAGTAATAGTTAATGCTAACGTCTTCAGGGTCATCTTAACCCTCTTCAGAAGAAGCCCTTCTGCTGAGGGTCATGTTGCTGTTTTGGAAGTGCCTGTTCTCTGCAAGACAGCATGAGTATTCCCCACGCTTTTGGGAACATTTCTGCTCCAAAAAGACCACAAGGGAAGTAGAGGCACTCTAGGATGATTGTGTGGAGGTAAGAGGAGGGTACTGCAGAGTCAAGAAAGACAGAGTTGGGATGCCTGGAGGACATGAGCTACCTAAGCATCTGCTGGTTATATATTAACATTGGAAATGAATACAACTACCTAATCTGTTTGCCGTTCTTTTTATTCTGGTTTTGCCTGACATCTCAGTAGGATAATGAATATGACATGAGTTTTGACTGCTTGAGATGGGGGTGGCAGGGCCAGGGGGATATAGTGAGGAAACTTTCCCGATTTGGATCTGGCCTGAAACGCTGTGTAATAGTTTTACATGTTAATAGTTTTGCATGTGGGTATCTTACTTGAAAATCTTGACGCCTTGCAAATGAAAAGGCTTCAGACTGAAGGATCTAGTTCTCAACCTGAATGCTATCATATTTGTGTGGTTTTCATTTTGTTTCTGAAGATGGTGGCTTTATTAGGAATGTTTAAGAAGCCTCTGAAAGTAATGATGCCTGTTAAATATGCTCAGGCAAATATGAACATGCTAGGGCAAATATTTACTAAGCTAAAGTTTATATGCTTGGATTGTATAAAGTAATGGCATAGTACTTGAGTGTACATCTGCAAATACATAGCATTCATCTCCTACAGCAGATTTTACCCAGCAGAAAATTTTACCATTTTTTGCAGTCTGTAAATCACAGAATCACAGAATATTAGGAGTTGGAAGGGTCCTTGAAAGCTCATCCAGTCCAACCCCGCTGCCAGAGCAGGATCACCTAGACTAGGTCACACAGGAACATGTCCAGGCGGGTTTTGAATGTCTCCAGAGAAGGAGACTCCACAACGTCTCTGGGCAGTCTGGTCCAGTGCTCTGTCACCCTCACAGTGAAAAAGTTTTTCCATATGTTCACATAATTGCCCCTTATCACTGAGAAGAGCCTGGCTCCTTCTTCCTGACACTTGCCCTTTACATATTTATAAACATTAATGAAGTCAAATTAATATATGTAAATTGAACTCAGTATTTAAGTCAAAATGTGTATTTGTGATTTTTGAAAAATGTGCTTAAAAATATAATGTACTTCTTGCTCAAACATCATATTACCTTTAAAAATAGGTACTTTAATTGCTTTTGATGAAAACCTAAGTTTACTATATGACATTTTATTAAAGGATTTTGTGGACTTAATTTAGTACACATAAAAATGACATCACAATGAGTAGAGGTTTTTTATGCTTGTCAAACTCTGACTGGAGAGAGAGAGAGATGGGGATAGATAGGACATATTTTATTATGAGTGCCTGTACTTTACTTACTCTTTAGAGAATTGCTACATTCTTCATCTCTTGAGGTGGAGCCTGGCTTGTGAGCTTCAGAGTCAGGAAGGCATGGTTGAAAAGAGAATACTGACTGGCTTTTTCTAATTTTCAAATGAAAAATAAATACCTCCTACTGAATTAAAATTCAACTTACTCCGTCTCATATTCTGTCTGAGCCTGCAGGCAAAGATACTTTATTTTGACACTTGTCTAGTCTTGTAGGTACTTCGCTTCAGAATTTATCTGAAACCATTAAGAGTCTAGCTTCATTATTTGTGGAATTCTTATAAGTGCAACTTCTGATTTTACATATCGGGTTTTATTTTTTGATTCACAGATTTTAGCCTGATCAGGTACTATTAGAAAAAAACCTGAACGACAAGTATTTCTTAAGTGTGATTTAATAAGATTCATATACATGTGAAAAACTGAGGAGACTTTATTTTTTAAACTTGTCTAGCAATAAACTTAGAATTGAGGAATGGTGTTCCTTAGCTCTTTGCCATAAAGTAGTATTTTACTAGAAAGTCTTTTTTCCTAGTCTTTCTGGTTTTGCTCATCTGAAAATAAAAATTCCAGTATTGCAGTGCATTGTTTGCAAGGTACAATACAGAGGAAACACCATTGTGCATGAGGGAGACTTGCCAAAACAGTATACTGTGTTACTCCACGTCTCAGAGGAAAGTGAAATAATATCCTGGAGTCCATCTATGATAATTGTCGCATTTATTGCTGACGGTTAAGGAACTGCTGAAGGAACTTTGTTATCCAAGAAGAGGTGTATTTCTAGGTGGGGTGTTACTCTGTCGTTTGAAAGCTCTGCTCGAGACCTGTGTGAAAAGGGAGAGCACGTGGGTGTTGTCATGAGATGAGGTGCATCAAGCACTTTTCTGCCCCAATGCTGGGTTTCTCTGTAAGCTCTTGTGTTTTTCCTTTCGGGTCTGGTAGAAGCCACAGGCTGTGTGGTATCTCTGTAATGATGTGACCCTGCATAGGTCCTCAACAAATCAAGTAATTGGGTGCTTCTCTGGGGGCATCCTCCGGGGCAGCTTCTCATCCCTCTTCTCTAGCGCACCTGCAAGGGGCATCCTGCTCCAGGCAGATTTAGGACTTGTGGTGTCTCTTTGTGCTGTCCAAGGCCTTTGGCCTAGTGCAAATGGGGCTGTGGGTCAGGGGAATAAAGGGAAGACTGTTCTGTAATGCACTGCTGAAGCAGGGCCCTATAGAATATCCTCATCAGTTCATGACATGTTTGAATGCTAGGAAAGAAAGTATTGCCAGTGCATTTAACAGAAAAATTGCTAGTGTCTACTTAACAAAACATATTTTCCAGTATTGTTCTCTGTCTTTCTTTGTCTAAAATGCTGTAGATTTATTTAACATGACAGAAAATTGAACTCATATGGCTTGAAACCATAGTCAGATGTGTTACAGAACCTAATTATCACTGAGAGGAGGAAGCAGGAATTAAGTACTAGACATTCCTAGAAAGGCTTAGTTATATATACATCATATGTATCTATATGTGTGTCACGGAAGCACTGTCTTTAGAAAAAGAAAGTCAGCAGTATTATATGCATGGTTTGTGTATCAGTAAATACTGTCAGATCCTTTACTTGGAGAGTATTTAAAAAGCTTTTTGAAGGTAGTTCAGCAGACATAAATGTATAGTTTTTTTGAAAGTTAGTGGGAGCTGGAAATTCACTTCCCTTAGCTTTTCTAAAAATCTCAGCATTCATTTAAAAACCTTCTATGTACGAAGCCTGGAGTTAGGTTAGCAGGGTGAGAAGACAGGGAAAAAGAAGGAAATGTTACCAATCCTTTCCCCACCGCAACGGGGCAGGCTATGCAAGTATGGATAAGCCTTACCCTTTGATTTGTTTCTGCAGGACTGTGGTGTTCCAGAGGTAGAGTTCTGTCTGGGAGCCAGCACAGAGGGACTTCCCATCTGCATACAGAGTGCAGTTGCCAATTTAGAAGAACTGGACGTTGAGAAAAACCCTTATATAAGTGTCAAATCGGGAGTGTGAGTACTGAACCTTTTTTAATAGCATTTTGCCAGCAGGTAAAGGGCTAACATCATGGGATGAAAGTCAGTCAGCAATAGGAACAGGAACATTCAAGGATTTTTGCTACAAATCAGCTAAAGTACTCTAGATATTCCCAACTCTGCATGTTAGTATTATGCTACGTGGACTCCAACCAAATTTTTTAAGGCATTTTTCCTCTAGTTGCTGGCAGAAGTCGTCTATAATTCCATTTTTTAGTAGCTTTATAAATAGACACAGCAGCTCAGCTATAATTAGCTTTTAGTTCATTGGAGAGTACACACTGTCTCCCTAGTCACCCACCCTGTTACAACTATCACACCATGGCTGAATACCGGAAAATGAATATTACCTCATCCAAGCATTCTTCAGGCTACAGCCATATCCTGACTTCCTGGAGAGAGGTGATGCAATGTGATACAGACCCCTCAGTAGCCCAGGATTTCCTATATTGAGCAGAATAATCTGTTTCCTGGGTAAATGGCCAACACTTGGCAGTCCCTGAAGTGTAGGAATTCTGCGTCTCTTCTCATAAATCATTGCAGAATGACATTAGTTATTCTGTTAAAAGGGTCTCGAGTTTGCCTTTCCATCCTACAGTCTCAAAATACACACATTAGTTTTGATAGAGCTTTGTCTAACTCTTGATTGCTTATCGTCTGTGTGTAGTTTTAGGAAGTAATTTTCCATATGGCTCAGTGCGTCTTCCTGCATTCCTTATTTGGTCTACTAACCTTGTGTCCAACTTCTACATTCAGCTTGCTGTCTGATGTAAAACATGCTGAAGGAGTCTCAGCATTTTGAATCTTCATGTTAAAATTACAATAGATAGCCTGCTTTCCAAAGAGGTGTTGTAAATGATCATATTTTAATAATTTCCACTGAAAAAACTGAGTGAGACTGATGTTAGAAGCCTTTTCATTCCTAACATGTCAATCCTAAGTAAAATTTCATGCAAATATCTCATCCTTGGTATGGACATTGGTTTTGTATACTCATAGTGCAACAAACTGGCTTCTTGAAGTGGACGAACAAATTGGTAATTTTTTGCTCTTTCATTCCTGTTTAACTTGGATTGAGAAAAAGTATCTGAGATAATCTTAGCATTGATGTTGCCAGTGTATTTGAGTAGAGCATGGTTTTGATGTGCTGGCACTATTTAAAACACATTGTCCAGCTCTCAGTACAAAAAAAAAATAATTTTTATGACATCATTGTATTTGTAATGTATCTGATGAGATTAATAAGTCCTTTATCCTTCCTGTTATAGATGGCTTGCTTATTCAGACGTGAATTACAAGGGAGAGATGAAGATTTTGGAAGAATGCAATTCACCATCTGAAATTCCTTCAGCAGATGTGAAATCTCTGCGTCCCTTAAAAATGGTGAGGACTTAAAATTCCCTAAGTGGCCACATGCCTGCCTTTTCCTTCTGATCCTCCCCTGCAGGTTTTGATCGAGATATAACTTGGGGTCTAACATCCTTTCAGGGTTAATCCTTATACATGGGTACTCCTCTTGCACTGCAGTGCGCTTGCAGCGTTGTGATGGCATGATGTTTGCTCATTACCGGGCTTGCTGTGCTCCTGCATCTCCCAATGAAGAACACGTAGTCGCAGGGATCACCTAGTTCACTGGGACATCTTCCTGGGGAACTGCTGTTGTCGAGGGGAGATCAAATAAGACGGAACTGAAAGACTTGCAATTGTATTGCAACCAACACCAATTCATTAACAAAAAAAGCTCTTCAGATGTTGTTTATTTTCTTTTTTTAATGGTACATCTAGAATCTGCAGCAGATAGGAAGTGTTTTATTGCCCGACATCATTCACTAACATTTCCAGAGTAAATGCATTTGTTGTATTTGCTTTTTGACCATAGACATGAATATAGCAGCCAATATTTTCTGTCTCTTCTGGTGTTTATAGTTTCTTAGTGTTTCACCATTTGTGCTTAAGAAACTTGAAATGTATACAATGCAGCTTTAAAAGTTGCATTTTAAAAATTTGTCAGCGTAAATTAGTTAGAAAACACAAAGTAAACATTTGCTTTAGAGTGCTAATAAACAATGAAGGAATATTTTAAAATTGCTTGCACCCCTACAGGCTTCTCACCATGCTGATGTTGTTTGTAGATCAGGTTTATAGTGTCCCTGGTCTCTGGGGGACTGGCAGGGGGGTTGGACTGGATGATCTTTCAAGGTCCCTTCCAGCTCCTAATATTCTGTGATTTATGAATTATCAAAGTATTTAAACTAGATTTTGATTTGGCCAGCACTGAAAAGGGTGAATATAATTACAGAGACATCATGCTCTGATAGTACTGTAAAACACATGTCAAAGCATAGCTTTAAGTTATTTATATAAATATCTATTTTTTTTCCCCCACCTTTTTTTAGGGTGGACTAAAGGTACAAATGCCAATGGATGTCAAGGTGAGCACTGAAGACACTGAGAATAAAATATGAGCACACTGTAAATATAAAACCTTTATTTAGGCTGGTTTCTTTTTTTGTTGGTTATGTGATGTTTGATTAAGCATTCAGTGTTTGCTGCTGAAGGAAAATTCAGTAATGCTGCCAAGTCTATTTTCTTTCTAGTGTTTTGAGAGATGTAGAAGTAGTAGCAGTTTGTTTTTTACATATTAGGAGAATATTAATTTGCTGTAAAGAATTGTAAAGTTTTTAGTACATAAAATCAGTTTTCCTGACTGATACCTCAGTTACTGTAATGGAAAGGGGTCAGGAAAGATTTTCCTATTTAACATACCAAGTTTAAAAAAAAAAGGGGGGGAGTAGGAAGAAAGAAAGGGGCAGGAATAGATTCCTTCCTTCCTTCCTATGCCTGATCCCAATACAAGAATCATGAGTGAGACAGGAGACAGTGACCTTTCTGTGATTTGAGAAGCAGATGTCTAATCCAAAGTTATTGCTCTTCTTTCCTCCATTTTCTAGTTCTCCACAAAAATGCTAATACTTTAGGCAACTTTTAATTATACAAATACATGCAAGACTCAGGTGTTTTTCTAATAAATAATGCAATAAATATTAACAGTATTAATAGCTGATCTGTGTGGTTTGGCAGATGAGGAACCCAGAAGGTGTATTAACTGAAATAACTTCAGCAAAGTACAGGGAAAGATCTCTTGCCTACTTTTAAGCTAAGTGTGTCTGTCTGTGACCAGGTCGGATTCACTGCAGGCTAATACACACTGGCCCAGCATAGGATTACAGATCACAGTCATATAGCTGCAGAGTGCATTTATGTATATAGAATTGTGTGAATAAGTATCCTGTGGAAATGGCTGCAAACAGCCTGACAAGGCTATCTAAATCCAAATAGGGTATCTTCAGATTCTAGGGCACTCAAGAATCAGAAGGACTGAGGAATGCAACCCTGAATTTTCTTTGTATTGTCAGCTTGTTGGGGGGGGTGGGAAATGGTGCCTTCCGCATACTGTAGCAGTACACACACCAGAATTACTATTCAGGACTCACTCAAGGCAGTGTTCAACATCATGTTTTCTAGATAATAATATATGAGAAAACCAACTTTGGAGGATGGTCCAAAATGTTTTCAGAAAACATCAGTTCTGTCTCAGCTTTGTTTGGTAGTGAAGAGGAGTTTCTGGAAATTGGATCAATACGTGTAATTGGTGGAGTGTAAGTATATTTCACTTTTGTATTTAGTTATGATTTCCTATTTTAAGTAAATGCTAAGAAATGCTAACTAAGGGGTGACTAGAATCTCTCACTGGTAAAATATTTTTTAAAGAAAGGAATATATAGTTCTCTTGTCATTTATCAGCCTTGGATAAAACAATCTCTCTATAAGGGTTATCTATCTAAGGGAATATAGGAAGATAAAACCAAGTGTATGAGAGGTGTGAAGTCAGTGCTTACCATTTGGATCCCAGTAAACTAAGTCACTTTGTTCCTTAATGACAGCATTCACACAAAGCTTTAATTTATATTGCTTTATTCTCCTGATAGTATCTACTTAATTTACTGAAATTACCTTAGGTAGGAGTTGTCAGTCTTCAATTTCTCATTTTAATGCCTCTGAAATCTATAAACTGTTTTATTGTCTTAATGGTTTTCCTTTGCCACCTGTGGTGTGTTATCTGGAATTAAGAATCCACCCTTATTTTCTGTTGTCGAGGCCTTGGATTTGATTCTGTGTCACCCTGCTCCTCTCTCTGGCATACACACGCACAAAAAGGGCTGTATAACACAGTCCTTGGGTGGGCTGCTCACGAGGCAGGCTCAGTGCCACCCTTTCTAGAGAGCTACCAGCTCCATGTGGTGTTCTTTCAACCTCTCCCAAGGTCCAACAGAGCAGGGCTGTTTGAAAGCATGCAGAATGGCTGTTTCTGCCAAAGAGCTTAGCAATAAAACAGTTTGAGAAACTTTTGGTTTTTTCCTAGAGGATTTCAATGTTAACACTTCAATGTGAAGATTCAATAACATACCTCCTTTCAGGCTGTTGTCAGAATCTTACAAGGACTAAATTCAAAATAAACTTAATTGTGAATATTCAATCTGTTCGTAAATACATTACATATTAGCTATCTGGAAAGCCTCAAATTACTAAAAATCATCCTTCCTTCTGTTGTGGCAGCTTTTATTTTTAATACTGTGGTAACTTAAACAGCTGAATTAATGTAAACCAAATGGTACTAAAAGTAAAGCTGTCCCTGCCTGCCAGATTCCTATGCCAACAGAATTTGTACAACAGTTCTAATACTTGTAAGCATTTCTTTCATTAGAACTTCCTTCTAAGAAAGAAAGAAAGAGGGGGAAATACTTTTTGGAATTAAGATCCATTAGAGCTTTCAAAATTGATGTAGAAATGCCTTATTTTAGTTAAGCCTTTTCTATTTGTTTAATATATTTTAAAAAGTTTTATTCCCTTAGTGCTAAAATAGAATCCATCTGCAGTATATTGTATACATTCAGTTCACTTGTCTATTCATACGTATGTTTGTAGATTAGAGCAGGAAGCAATGCCAGTGGTGAAACTTTGTTTTGCTGAAATCCATTAATTTTGTCACCAGCTCCAGCAAGGGTACAATCTTGCCATTTATTAGTACACTGGAGAGATCTGCTGCTTGGTTTTTCTTGTTGACAATTGGTGTTTTACAGTGTTTTAGATGCTTACTAGCCTCTGTAGGACCAGGTGATGGTATTTGGAATATGGCTGACAGAGGGGGTACATAGAGAAGCATTACACAAATGACTTGTTGTTGGAGAAGGAATCACATGGTGGGATTTTGGTCCACAAAAAGCACTTCATGGGTGCCTGTTGTGATTTCAAACAAGTGTTGCTTTGTTTGTTAGCTGAGTCTGTCATACGCATCTTAGTATGCTTAGGATGATCTCCTCCCCTTTTATTTGTTATGGAAAATCATGTGTGCAGTTGTTTTGCTTTTAGTTATTCTCTTTCTTTTGTCATGTGGTTGCTGTAGATGGGTTGCCTATGATAAGGAACGCTACAAAGGCCGTCAGTACTTGCTGGAGGAGGGAGATTATGAAGACAGACACTCATGGGGGGGAACTGACAGTGTCCTCCTGTCTTTCCGGTTCCTCCAGGCTGTAAGTACTTTTATGAATTTCACACAAATGATGCACAGTTCTGTGCATAAAGAGCAATGTTATTCTTCATATACGGTACAGCTGTCTTGGGTTTAGCCATTCTGTCTTTTGCCCAAGTCCGCTCTCGTTCTTTTCCTACTTGCTGAAATTTAGACTGCACTGTATACATTGGAAAGCAGAAGCAGGTTCTAAACAGCCTTTGTAAAGTTCATAGGAAGAATGTATCATGCAAAATTCCTTGTCTACCTGCCAGATTTTCCAAGTATCTCACTTCTGCACTTCAAGCTGTTTGAATCTGTGGAACAGAATTTTCTTAAAAGTTGAACGTGTGTAAGTGTACAGTGTTGTTCTTTATTAAAATAAAAATAGCTTTTCAACACAGCAGCTGTTGCAAGCTTTAAAACAGCACTACCCTCTGTCTCTGTGGTTTTTGTGCCAGAAAATTTTGGCAGCAAAAATAATCATGGTGAAAAAAAAATCTCTGCAACTAAAATGTGTTTAATGGGGACAAAGCTGAAATAATAATGAAAACTGTATCAGAGTCCAGTATTGGAAGCAAAATCAGCCTTTTCAGTGATGTGGGAACACGGGATTAGAACTGCTGTATGATCTTCTTTGGTTTGGGTTTTTTCATTTGTTTGGGGATTTGAGGGGTTTTTTATTATAATAGGAACTCTGTAAACTCTAAATACAGCTGAAGACACTGGCTCCTTTTGAGAATTAGATTGTTCACTCTGAGATTACTCAATCTTATGTACTTGGATTACTCATCTCCTCATCTGAGGAGATGGGATATTACTGAAACAGAAATTCTGTGAAGTTTGAAGACAAACATGTCGAGCAAACTCATTGTCTTAACATGATTAAAAAACGAAAAAGGAAGGTTTTAAGACTATGCTTAAATTCACAATTTGCAGGTTTTATTTTTATGGAAGGCATCTAGGAAAAGCTGTATTTTTAATCAGAATCTGTCATATAACTTAAAATAAAAATAGGATAATAAACTGAAACAAAAGTGTCCTCTAAATAATTTATTTTCTGGTTTCTGAGAAAAACAGGGAGGAATTTTATTCTAACTCCTCATTTTGAATGTGCAGGATCCTATTCACTTAGTGACTAATCTCAGTTTTTCTTTTCAAGCTATACATAGGATACTTGAGTAACTTAAATTGATCTTTTTAAGTCTTCCTCTTGCCAAAGGACATAATTACAAGCTTAAAATTGTGCACATGCCTAGCAGTAATCACCTTCCATGTATATGTGTGTATTTAATTTGACTCATGCCTGGAACAGTCAGGATGCTCCAGTATATATTTTAAAAACATGTATCATTTGCATTCAATTATCAACATATATCATTCAAATTATATATATCAATATACAGATATTGATAATAAAAGTGTAAATAATACCTTTCCTCAAATTGTAGCATAACTAAAGGCAATGAGCTGGTTGCCAGGGAAGTGACTAATGGTACTGGTATTAGTCATTCAACTTGACCAACAGAATGACTGCATCTCCCTGATGTGCAATACATAGGTCAACGTTCAGGCTTGCCTTAACTTCCATTGTGACTTCATACATGGTCAGGATTTTAAATAACATTTTGGTACCAAACTCTTGTTTTCAAGGAGACCTGTGCAAAATCCCAAAACTAGTTCTGTGTGCTCAAGGCTCCTCGCTGCACATCGACTCCTCTTCTCCCTGATCTCAGAAATTCTGTCAGGTGAAGCATGGTAAAAGTTGTGATGGTCTCAGACTCCACAGGGGAGTGTTCTTGAATGTCAGGTCTTTATTGCTCTTCCCTCAAAATTCTGTTTTAGTCAGATGAATTCAAGAGTCTCTGTAGAAGACTAAGGATTTTGTGAAATGTAGCCACGTTACATTATTCATGGTCAGCTTAGGTAGGGAGTGGGATTGAGCATTGACCCTGCTCTTTATACGCAGTCACTGGTGTGGCCTTACCTAGGGGCCAACCCAGCTAGACTTTTTTACTTCTTTTTTTTTTTTCCTCCAGGATGACACCAGGTGACCTTGACTGCATTGGCTTTAAGGCCAGCCCAGACCTGAAAACAGTTTAGCCTGGCTCGTGTGGCATGCAGCTGAAGCTAACGAGCCCTGCGTACCTGAGTCAGCTCCAGGCAGAGTCAAATCAAATGTCTTTGCGCCGTGCTCCCAAAGCAGGGAGCGTGGTACTGAAGCACGTAAACGGCTCTGTTGAGAGCCAGGCTGGGTATGACGTGCCTCGTTAGCCTGTGTCACTGCCGGCTTAGTGCTATGCAAAGCTATTCAGATGTTTCTGTGCCACCACGCTCAACATGACAGGTTCCACCAGAGCTTATTAGCGCTAGGAAAATCCAGCCCGTGTTTCTGTATGCGTACCAGTGACTGCAGTTCAGCTGAGGCATGAATTTTGTTTCCTGACAAATCAGAAAGGTTAGACCTTGCACACAAAAGAGGGATTGTTGCAAGTCACCCCTCCCCGCCCACTGGTGAAGATACACATGCATGTAGGCATAGTACGAGAGCTTTCAGTTTTTGTCTGTCTTAAATGTTCCTGTTGTGAACAGTCAAGCTCTAATGTGGAGGTTCGAAGAGTGTTTTGAAAGCAGATACAGAAAGGACTTGTAGAATTGTGTTTTCCAGCAGACTGCCAGCTCTGTTATCAGCATCTATATCAGACACGGTGGATTCAAATACAGGGCTCCCTCCTGAGGGAGGACAGTGGTTTGTGCTGTGTGCTGGTTTAGGGGACAGTTGCGTTCACCAGTTTTCTGCAGTGTCAGATGAGAGAACCTGTGAAGCTGGGGTTTGCCTGTGGCTGAGGTGACCAGGGAA